TCCAGGAGCCAAAGGGAGCTGGGCTACATGCAATGCAGCACTGGGGGGGGGGGGGGGGGGGGAGGGGGGGTGCCTCAGCAGCCAGCAGCTCCTCCCTCGGCCCTTGCTCCTCCCTCCCTCCCTCCCTCCCCCACCAGCCTCTGGCTCCTCCTGCCTTGATGCAGGGGCTCTGAGGCAGGAGAGTGGGAAGATAAGTGAGGGAGCAGGTGGCCAGGAGGAGCCATGGCTTCTGAGCCTGTCCCCTCCCTCCCCTAAGGGGGGCTTAGTTTATCAGCAAGCTTCCCTCGCTTAGAGCTGCAGATGGACAGAATAGTCTTCCTCCGTGTTAAAGGTTGGTCAACGTGGATTGCTTTTCTACTGAGCATTTCTGAAGCTGCTCAGCCCATTTGGAAGTTTTTTTGTGGACTCACTGCATCCAAAATATCTGGCTGACCGATGGAAACTCTCATTCACCCAGGCCCTGGTTGTCCCAAAGGTGCTTTTGGGGCATCCTTCAAGGACCCTCTGAAAGGATGCAAATGACCAGCTGTCTGCAAAGAATAGAAATCTTTCCATTCTCCACTCTCCAGTCAGAGCCGAAGAAGCTTTTTGGATGAGAAGCGAAACGTCTTCAAAGGCAAAACACGAACATCCAGTTGCCTCCTGAAATAAAGTATCTTTGGGACTGGCTGACCAGGAATAACGGAGAAGCCTTCGTCCGTGCGTCCATTGGCCCATCTTTGCACTCGAGTGATGCATCCCTTCAGTCTCATCTCTTGATCCAATCTAGTCGACCAGAGAGGATCTAAAAGGCATTTTTGCATCAGTCATTCATATCCTCTCTGGTCTATTAGAATCATAGAATCATAGGGCTGGAAGGGACCTCAGAGATCTTCTAGTCCAAACCCTGTCCAAGACAGGAGACCTTATTTCATCCTGGTTGGCCATTTTTTTTCTTGGACACCTCAAATGATGGAGCACCCACATCTCTGGGAAGCAGTCTGTTCCACCTGTTCTCGTGGTCAGAAAATCTCTCCTTACTTCTGGGCTGGATCTGCCTTTCATGAGCCTCCCCCTATTGCTTCCTGTCCTGCCCACCTGCTCTTCTCTGCGACAGCCCCTCCAGCACAGGAAGAGACTATCCTGACGTGCCTAATTCCCTTCATTGTTCCTCATCTGGCTTGGCCTCCAGACCCATCACTCTTGGCTTCCTTGCTCTTCTCTGCAGGCCTTCCAGAGTCTCGACCTCTTCTTTTGCATCACGGTGACCAGAACTCACCCGCGTACTATGGAGGGGCGCTACGCTCCCTTCCGGTTCTAGGATCCTGGCTGGGCAACTGGGGGTGGGGTGGTCTGATTATCTCAGGGTAGAGAGGCAAAGCCCGTGAAGTGAAGATTCCCCCCCCCCCAAGAATAGTTATTTATCATGATAATCTTTTAAAGAGAGGTGCTTGAGCTTCCCTCACACAAAGAATAAGCCACTTTCACGCTGAACTATCTGCATTTTATACTCCTCTGCTTTTTTTCCTCTAGCTGGAAAGCAATTTAGATTTTATTTCTTTGTAAACAGTTTTTCTAGGATCAAAATTTTATTCAGTATTCTTGGGCAAGCATTAAAATCTCCATTACAATATTATTCTAATTTTTACTGGCAAGATATCTTTTTGCCATTCTTCCTAAAGGGATTTCTGTTATTATGCCATACATTAGAACACCCCAAACTCAAGAAAACCTCAGTTATAAGGATTTGACTCACAAAATATAACACATGTGGGTAGGTGAACTGCTCTGATGGGAATGTTTTATTTTGGCCCATCAACATTTCACAAACAATTGTAGCATCCAAAACTAGAACAGGATACAGGTAACCTTTCTTGTTATTTTTTTCATTTCAAAGCAAAAGCTACAATTTTGAACATGACTACCTTGAGGCAATTTAAGTAAAAAATATGTAGCACACATGAAGTGCTCCCCAGGCCTGCGCAACCTACACAAGGAAGAAATGACATACACAATGACATACAGCAAACAACCCATTGTCTCTCTCCTCAACAATCCTCTCCATTTCCCAGTCTGGTCCAAAGACGGAATGCACTGCTTGGCTCCCCCCCGGCCTAAATTATTTCACACCGATATAGAAAGCCTCAGGATGGACATGCCTGATGTGCTGCCAGTCGCACAAGCAGGACGCATTGCACTGAATGGTGGGGACTTCACAGGGTGCCTCTGCAGGCCCATCCTTTGGGGCTGGTGGGGACTGGCACACCGTCAGCCCCAGGGAAGGACCAGGAGAGGCCCCCTTCCATCCTCCGGAGTGGGCCCGCCGGGAGCAACTGCTGAGAAGTGGTTGGCTTTGGCCCAACAGGGAACCTCTTACATTCTGTCATGCAGCAGTCCAAGCATCCTGGTGTCAATGGCTTGCTTGAAAGCTTGCTTTGGTTGTTTGCTTATTAATGAGTCTACCCAACTTCAGATGACTCTGGGCAGCGTCCCCTTTAGAAGCAAGTACGACAGAAAGACAGAAAGAGATCACGGACACTCCCGAGGGAACAAAAACCCGTTGAAAGAGCTTCCAAGGAGGGGGTTCAGCAGCCACCCCCTCCTGGGGGAAGAGCCAGGTTGTCAAAGAGTTCTGGAACATTAATAGGGCAGGAGCCATATCAAACTGGAGGATGATATTATTCCAGAGGATAGGTGCTCTGATAGAAAAGACACACACTGTTTAACTGAAGGGACCTGGACTGGACTCTCTGCCAAATTTTACCTAGTGGGCAGAAATGATAAAAGATAGGTCGTTATAAATAACCAGGCCTTATGCCATGCATGGCTTGTAACCAGCATCTTAAACTGAGCCCGCAATCAACACCAGCAATCAGCACAGCTCACAGAAGAGTGGAGTTTCATGCACACCCCTCGCCATACCTCCATGTTCTGGACCAGTGGCTGATCTTCAGGGCAGAGTGCATTGGAGAAGACACCAAATTGTGCATCAGTCTGAAATGGGGATGTGCCGCCTTTCCCAAGACTACCGCTCAAAAGCCCCCAGGACCAGGGGCTCCAAAAATTCATAGCCACTCAGGATTGAGCCTGAACTTCTCTTCACCATCAAGATCTATGTAGCTTCCAGAGGTTGGGATTGGTCTGGAAGCTTCAACTTGAATAGCCCACAGTTGAGATGTATAGTTGGGTATCCCAATCATCCTGATGGTGCCAGATCCCAAGCTGAGGAATAATCTCATCCAGCAGATTCATCTGCAAGAGTGAAAAGCGTTGAGCCCTGAAGCACCTCACAAATGTCTTACCACTTAACACCAACTGAAATCACTCCAGGAGATAGTGGGGTAACCAATGTAACACGGTGGCACCTTCTTCCAAGACCTGCAGCCAATCTGGAAGAACTGTGTGAATAACACTCTCAAAAGTTGCTGGGAGATAAAGAAACACAAGAAATGGATACACAGCCCAGCTCTGCCCAAGGACGTCAACAACTCTCTGGCCAGTATTGTGGTTTGGGCTTAATCGTTTTCTCTTATTGCGTCTTTGCAAGAGGACCTCGATGCAGACACAATGGGCAAAGTGATGTTCCGTGACGTTGATCTTTTGCCTTTTGTGGAAATACCACAGGAGTTTTTGGACAACTATTGTGCCCAGCTTTGTGTCTGTGGAAAACTGGGTTGTACCATTTTTCAGGAGAGTTAGCAATTGCCTCATAGCTGCTGTGTGGTTGCATAACATAGTACACAATGGAAAATATTCTGCCACACAAGAGTTTTGTTATAAGGGCATTGTTGGTGGATGCAGACACACATATGTTCAGAGTTAGATGGCAGATAACTGAACCTCTGACTCTAGTCTGTAGTCTCATTAGAGAAGAGTTTTCGCACTGGCTTGGGCAAGTGTTCATCCCATCCTCTTCTATGTAGTAGAGCTAATGTTGTGCTATTTATCCCTTTTGCAAGCAGGAGCTGCAGCAGCGCTCTAGTCGTGGTGAGATGGGTCCCTCCTGCAGCCTCAACATTTCTCCCTATTTGGAGAAGCCCTCGTGATGGCTCATGCTGAAACGTGCCTGCTAGATTTTCATCCACAACTGATTCTATCCTGTTAAATTATTTTATCGCATTTTTATTACCACATAGCTTTTCTAAAATGCTATTTGGTTCCATCTTATTAGAGCCAGCATCTATTCATCTCTGTCACATGAGCCTGGCACTAAAACTGGCTCTGCATTACAATCACACATTCATTTTGGTCCTTTGCCAGCTGCTCAAGCTGTATATGATGCAAAAAGACGCCATTCGTGATGCTTTCAGGTAGACAGGAGGCAGCCCCCGCCCGCCCCCACCCCCTCTGCTTTGCTAGTCATGGGATGCGCAAACTTCGAGGATCCTGTTGGAGATTCTGGAACATCCCAGATGATGCTTTGGGTGGGTGGCTGTAGGGCTGCTACGCCTGGATTAATCTTTTCCCATGAAAGAAGAAGAACATTTTCTTGCTAATTATAGAAAATATAGAGTTGAGCCTTTCTTCCTGTGGTTTTCTACATTGAATGATTCTAATGTTTTCATAGAGGGGACTAAGCACTAAGAAAGACCAAATCTTATGGTAACAGCGGAGATCCTCAAACAGAATGACTCCCCCTCGCTTGAGGCGGTCAAGGACCTCTCCAACCCTGGTAAAAAAACAGCCACGAATGGATGGAAGAAAAATGATCCTGCAAGTATACCAAGGAAAGTAACTGAAAGTCCACTAAAGGAACAAAATAGTATTAAAAATATTATAAATTCAAAGGTTCTGTTGTAGAAATGGATTTTGAATTGAGTTCCAAGAAGAATTAATGTTTATACTCCAACTTCGTATACTTTTACATTAACGCCTCTCCAAAAAAACCTCAAATATGTTTGATTCCTATTTGCTGCTTCCCCAATGGCAGCTTGACAGAGAGGAGATGATGACCAGGTGAGCCCTGGCCAGAGATCCGGGATGGAGGGAGGAGGAAAGGCCGGGCAGAAGGAAGGCCCAGGGGCAGCCCCAGGAGGGGCCTCTTCATTGGGGGGGGGGGGCGGCTTCACCAGGGGCATGGAAACGGTGTCACGGTGTGGCTACATCATGCGGTTGCTCAGGGAAGCGTGTTGGAGTAGAAGCTCAGGCTCTCCGAGATGGTTTTTGTGTCACTGCGGGAAGAGCCGTTGGAGGTCAGGTCGGCTGAGGGGCGCCTGGGTTTGCTGCCCTCCTCCGGTTCCTCCTCTGGGTGGCCGAGGACCGAAGAGACCGTGGTCTCCATCCGGCTGCTCTTGCACAGGCTGCTCTGGACGTGCAGGGACCTGGCTGACTTCATTTCCAGGCCTTCGTATGGGCTGGCGTTGATGAACGGGCACCACCGGAAAGCCCGCTTGAAGCCCGCCCGGAACCTGAAAAGGCAGAGCAGCCGCATGAGGAGGGGAGCCTCCCCTCGGCTCCCAGGGCCACAGGAACAGCTGCGCTGGCCAGGAGCCCCAGGGCCGGAGCAGCTCAAGGGTCCTCTGCACTAATGTCTATCGTTCTTTCCCTGCTAAGGGGAAAAGGGGAATTCTCTGCGCTGCTAAAAACAGAGCCCATTTTGCATAAATCGTGTTCATCTGTATGTTTTTCCTGTAATTTTATCTACTCTGCATCCTAGGTTAAGGGGGCTGGGGGTGGGGGGATGCTCCCTCGTGGCAGTATCAGGCTTTGAGGCGGCTCGTAGGCGGCAGCCTCTCTCTCTCCTGACTGCCCTCCTCACACTTTCCATTCACAGTGTTGTGCAAGAGCCGCAATCCCGCAAAGGTGGGGTGCCAGAGAGGAATCTGGACATGGAGCTGCTGCTTCCTTCACACAATCCTGCCTCCCCATTTCAACTCACGCAGCTTTGTGTTGAAAAGTGTGGCGTCTTCGGAGGAGGACTGCCAATCCCACTCTTTTGCCCAGTTTTCCCCAATCTCAGGCAAGCCTTTTTTCTTTAGAGAAGTAGCCAAGGGCACCAGGTGCAGGGAAGGCGAAAAGCAGACTCCTCGTGTTTAGACCGGGCCAAGGTTCCAAAGACTCTGCTTGGCCAGTATACCAACCTCCCAACCTTTTGCAGGCAGCCCATTCAGGGTTCAAAGCTCTGGCGACTGGCCTGAGTGGCTTCATTCGGCCCCGACCGACAGGGGAGCAGGCCCAGTTTGGCTCTGTCCCTCAGCAGAAGAAGAAGGCCTTACCTGTCATTGAGGCAACAGTAGATAATCGGGTTGTACATGGTGGAACTCATGGCCAGCCACAGGATCGCCAAGTACACCTGCTGGATGTATTTTTCGGAGAACATTTCGACCTTGAAGAGTTGCAGGAGGAAGTAGACGTGGTAAGGCAGCCAGCAAATGGCGAAGGTGCAAACCACCATGATCATCATCTTGACCACCTGCCAAAGGAGGAAGAGGAGGGGAAAACCACCAAGTCTGAGCTTCAACAGGGAGTCCGGCTGAGGAGAGAAGTGGGGCTGCTCCCACAGAGGCCCCTGGGGGCTCACAGGGCAGCCCTGCCAGGCAAGTGGCTGCTTTGGGGCCCTGACTTGGGCCTTCCCCTAATGGAAACAGCAGGCCAGCTGTGGGAAGATGGCCAGGCAGTGAGGCCACAGGGTTGTGGTGACCCTTTGGCGTCTTCCTTTTGCCCTTCGAAGAAGCCGAGAGCTCCTTCAGTTCAGAGCATTGGGGGCATTGCGTTTATCCAGTCCTTTGGGAGAAGAAGCTCTGTGGCCAAATGGGAGCTAGAAGAGGTGAACATTGGATGTTCCTAATTCAATGACCTGCTGGGGGATGGGAATGGAGAAGCGAAGCTCTTTGGGATGCCGCTTGGCTACCATTCCCAGCCTCCATTATCCTTAGCCCTGCTCTCTGGCACTAGCGGTGCTGCCTGGGGGGCTCCCCCACTCTTGGGAGGAAGGAAGGAAGGAAGGAAGGAAGGAAGGAAGGAAGGAAGGAAGGAAGGAAGGAAGGAAGCAAGCCACCTCCAATGGCTCCAATGAGGGGCTGGCCAGAGATCTTGGCCACCTGCTTCTACCTCTGCCTGTGCAGTTCACCTTTGGACCCTGAGCCAACTGCCCTCTGTAGCGGGGCTTTCCTTTCTGGTTGAGCTTCTTCTGATGGAGCTTACCTTGCGCTTGGCAGACACCTGTTCGTGGTAGCGGTCCGAAGAATCCCCTGGTATCCCACTAGCCCAGAGGGTGATGCCCACCATAATATAGGCATAGCCTATCACTACAAGGGGTAAGACGTAGGCTAGGACGGTCATGCAGACCTGGTACCTGGAATAAACGAGACACAAGTCAAGAGCCTGGCAATGAAAGAGGGGTTCCCCCCTGCCAACCCCCCCCCCACGTCCGAGCATCCATTTTATTCTTGATATAAATGCGGCTGCTACTTAGAACATCCCTGCAACGTCATGCCACAGGTATGAGAGTGTAACTTGGGCTGCTCTTAGAGGAAGAGGCCTTCAGGCTGATGATGGATGTAGCAGGCAATAGCCCACCTCTAAGGCTCTCAGCCCCTCCCCAAGGCAGGCCACATGCCCTCAACTCTACCCAGATTTTCCCCACAGGGACTGGCAGCCCGTCTGATCTCAGGAGCCCTGAGTTAGAAAGGAAATCCCACCTCTCAGCCCCCTCCCCGCAAAGCCAGTGATCAAGCGAAGTCTGTGGAGTGAAGCCAGCCCTTCCGAGAGCAGAGCAAAGCCCTCCCTCGGCTGCTGGCCCTGCTTCAGAGCGTGTGGCCAGGGGCAGCTGCACCCCCGCAGGGCTGCCCCATCACCTCCCTTCAAGCTTCCTTCAGAGACGAGGCCTTCTCCCTGGCCTCCTGCCTGGCTGAGTTTCCCCCCAGAGACCTACATTTCCTCCTCGGCCGATTTGACGAGGGCACAGAGCCCATCCAGGCCCCAAACCTCCGCTCTGCTACTGAGAAGCATGAACCTCCACTAGGGTAGGTGGGATGAAGGACACCCCCCCACCTTATCTTGGGCTGGGAGCGATTCGGCTGCTGGGGGTGAGGCAGGAGTAAGAGCTGGACCTTTTCCCAGCCAGGCAGCAGGTCCTCCTCAATTGCACCTTCAGCTCTTTCGATATGTCAAATGCTGAAATATGAGGTGTCACGTCGAGAATAGACCCTGACATCCCACCAGGCTCCCTTCCGAATTGGCCGCAGCAACGAAAGATGCCAGAAGTTACCCAGGGCCAAGCTGCCGGATGAGCCTGGACTTGGGACTGGAAGTGACCTGAATGGTGGCCAAGGCAACCACTGAATGTAGCTCCATGACTTGGAGACCAAGATTCAGCCAGGAAAGGAAGGGAGTGTTTGGCAGAGGGCCTAAGGTGCCTCCTTTTCCATCCCTGAGAAGTGATGACGGAAATACAGAACCAAACAAAAGTCACAATAGAATCATCAAATTGTCATGAGGCTGCAAAGATCATCTAATGATCCAACTTGCTGCAAATAGGTAGGAAAACTGATTAGAAGTGGCTGCCCAGCCTCGTCTTAGATGACCTACTCTCTCTAGAGGTAGCAATGGATCTTAAGAGAAGTTTTTACTTCTTTTTAAGTGAAATCTAGGCAGATGCAACTTATGCAGATTATTTGTAGTTCTGAAGTCTGTAGCAATGGAAATCATTCGTGGTCATCTTCTCTATATTTTTATGTATCCAAACTCTGATATCAGTTCTCCCGTGTTTTTCTCCAGACTGAATGCCCTTCAGCCTTTCTACAGCCGATTCACTAAATTCTTTATTTCATTTAGGCAATTTTCAGCAACTTCTCTAGAACCCAGAAAGAATGTATTATATAATACTTATTTAATTATTCATTGAATTTGTATTGCCTGATCCTCATCTAACATCATAAATGAAATATTTTAAAACATACAATAAGAAACAGAAATAAGGAATAAAAAGATAGCAAAATGATAGACACCAACCCAATGGGCGCCCATAAGAAGAGCCTCAGGTGCAACGCTTACATTCGGTTGAACTAGGAGGACAAAGGATCAGGAATCTCCAGGGTGGCCTTCACAATTCTGGGGGTTGAAAATCGAACCTATCTGGAGGCTGCCAGCTTGAGGGAACCCCGGGAAGATTATCCTGAAGAGTCAAAGGCAAGTAGGAGTCTCTTGCCTGTACAGTATAAATATTTATCTACTGATAACGGCAGAGTTCATTCCATTGGGAATCCCCAACAAAGGAATTAATCAGGGGACTTACGCCAGCCTTCCCTTCGAAGGCGGGGGGAGCACACGGGGAAAACACCCTGGGTCCAACGCCCTGCAGTGCTGCCGGTGCAGCTTCTTCTGCAGGGGGCCAAGAGGCTCTCGGATCCAGGAAATGTCCTGAGACGTTGGCTAAGAGTTGACCTGTGGCTGCAACAGCTGTGGGCCCCCTGGGCAGCCAGTGTTGGATAAAAACAACGTTACAGAGGATTTTCTTCCCAGCTCTATTGCCCCGCACACCTGCGCACACCTGCAAGTCTTGAGTTAGAGCTAAACCGAGTCCTTGTTGCATGTGTCATGCACTGAAGTGCCCCCAAAGGAAAACTAACTGTACATATTTTGTCTGCACTGTATTTTCTTATTATGAACATATAATCCAGGGCAAATGTCTCTATTGATCAGGACGGGTGGAGAAATAAATTGTTCTGCAGCTGCTTCATCTACATGTCAAATGCATTACAGAGGCCCCCGGGTGCATTTTTACAATATTGTTCTGTGGTTTTCCTTTTCTGGCTCCCAACCTTTTCCAGGTTCCAAACTCCCTCCCTTTGATTAATGCCAGGGGCTCTTCCTGAGCTGACCACCCAAAGGGAGGCGGAGAGAGAAAGGGCTGGTGGGGAGCAGGGAAGATTTCAGAAGAAAGTCCTGAAGGTTGGAAATAAAAAGGAAGGGGAAGCCATTTCATTTTATGAGGTTGAGATATCCCAGAAGCAAGTTCCCAGATACGGATAATGTTTTTTGCAATGGTTACTAGAAAGAAGGAGGGAGAACTAATTGTTTTATTTGCAACTATATGACTCACTGAAGTCACGCAGCACATCAAATGGTTCTGCGGGAATCAATTTGCCCACTTTTGGAGCCTTCGTGGCAAAGGGTCCCTAAACTCGAGGCCGAGAAATCTTTCTGATTTTAAAAAAAGAGTGAAAAAGGTTTAAAATATTGAAAGAAAAAATATAGGTAGTCTTGACTTACAGCCGTTCATTTAGTGACCATTTAAAGTTACAATGGCACTGAAAGAAGTGACTTAGGGCTGTTTCTCAGACTCCTGATCATTGCAACATCTCCATGGCCATGTGATTAAAATTCAGATGTTTGGCAGCTGACTCATTCTTATGACGGTTGCAGTGCCCTGGGTCATGTGATTCCCTTTTGTGACCTCTGACAAGGAAAGTCAATGGGGAGGCTGGATTCAGCCATGTTACTAACTTAACAAATGCAGTGGTTCACTTCACAGCTGCGGCAAGAAAGGTCGTAAAATGGGTCAAAATTCACTTAACTGCGTCACTTGGCAACAGAAACTGGGCTAAATTGTGATCGTAAGTTGAGGACCCCTTGTAACATGCTGTACCAAGAAGTTCTGTGAACTTGTGGAGGGAGACCCCGCAACACACGTCCCTTCAATCCACTGAACCACACGCCTTCCTTCTGGGAAAGTCCCTTCGAAACCTTTCTCCAAATCTACCGTGGACAATCGAGCATCATTGAGGACTCAACCCCACCACTGCTCCAGCCTTCACCTCAAGATGTTTTTGAGCAAGTTTCAAAACCCTCGAAGTCCATCCGGGAAGGAGTTTGGGTTTTACAGTACACCCCTCCATTGTGATTGTCCTGGTTCCTCCTCCACTTCCCAGTTCTCTAAGCTCACCTCCATCCACCGGGGCGTTTGTCCTCTGGCCCCGCCAGAGAATTCTTGAGAGTTATCTGATCAGCAGGAGAAACATGACAAATTCCAGCTGCGGTTGACTAGACTTCATTCCGTGGATCGGCCATCCTATTTTCAACTATTCCATATCGAAAGGAGCCGGGGAGCCTCAGGCCACACTGAGCTTGTGTTGTGTTCCATGTGGCTCTTTTCCATTTTTCATCAGGCCGACTTTGAAGGCATGCTTGAGTCAGAAGCTTTCAGGGCCTGATGCAAATGTACTTTTCACTCCTCTCTGGTTTATCGTTTCAGTGGAATGTCAAAATTCAATTTATTTCTTTTGGCATTTTTCATATTGTGATTACTTCATACAGAAAACCTTTCCACACAAGGAAGATATATTCCAGAGCAGAAAAGAATTGCTTAGAGGCAACTTAATAAAAATGACACTCACGGAACAAAATAAGAAAGGATCAAAATGGATAGAAAATGGTCTACAAGAAAGTGGTAACTAGGATTTTGAATATCATGAACTGCCTGGGTTAGAAGATCAACCCTGCCCACCAGGGGTGTCCATTATTTCAGCATTCCTGGCAACAGGCGGCCATCTGGTCTTGTTTAACCCCCCCCGCCCCCCCCCCCCCCCCAAATAAAAGAGAGACTATCACCTCCCTGGCAATCTGTTCCACTGGTGAGCAGCTCTTACCATGAAGGCATTTTTCCTGATGTGCAATAAAAATCTGCATCCTTCCTTCGGGAATAACTTTGAACCAACCTGCCCCATCTTCTGTACTTGAAGGGAGTTCTCTTCTCCAGTCTAAAGAGACCCAGTTCCTTTCAGATTGTTTGGATCAAGGTTGCTCACCTCTGGACCGATTACTCAAATATGGGGCTTAGAACTGGAGGCAATCTTCTTCAGCTTCATACAGAATAGAGAGGAGCAGTATCTTCTCTTGAACTTGACATTGTATGCATTTCTTGAATTAATTTAATAGCGTGGCCTTCTACAACTTGAAAATGTTACATTTTGAATGATTGAAGACTAGAAGTATCACGCAGGCTTCATCCCCTGATCTCCCCTGGACGTCTCTTGCCTTCCTTATCACTCAGAACATTTCACCTGCACCGGGTGCCCCTCAAAGCTCATTCTGTCCAGCAGCCCATGAGAACTTTAATTCCAGCCAAATAATTTGCCCAGGAGAAGAGAGCGAGAAGGAGAGGCGCTGGCTGCAGTCTGGAGGGGAATGGGAACTCGCTCCAGAAGAAGAGGAAAGCCTGAGAGAGAAGCCAGGAGCCCTGACTCTCCCGGCTGTGAAGGGGAAACGGAGCAGAAGCCCCGCCAGCACGTCAAGATTCACCCCTCAAGCAGCGTGTTAGTATTTCTTGCCATCTCTTTCCTGACCTGGCCTGCCTCAAAGGGCCGACACCCACCGAGTTCTTACCACAACCAACTTGGAAGAACCGGTGGGGTCCCCTCTTCACTCCTCTTTATCTGCAACCACCTCTCTTCCAGTGGAGGTCAATCATCAGGAACCAATTTTAAACTTGCTTGGCATAAACACATGTCCACCATCCAACAAAACTTAAAAATAAAATACAAATTAATAAAATATAAAAATAATAAATCAGTGAATGAAGAAGGAAAAAAACCCCCAAAGGGCAGGCTTGATTGACTTTTCTGCCCTCTGTTGTTGTCTACATTTCTATGTTTAATGAGGTCAATACGCTTGTATTCATGATAACTGAAGCAGGTAACAATCCTGAACTTCTAGGTATGACCAAATTAATCCCCAGAATGTTTTTGTTTTTTTTAGGAAATCTGAATTCAGGAAAGAAAACGTGGCACCCAAGTGCCACCAACCGGGATCAGTGGAAGAGTGACAGATAAGTCTGATTTCTCTATGGGTCCTTTGGCCTGTAGCTCTCTCAGTCCTGAACAGTTCACCAACATTATTTTGCTTTTTCCCACAACCACCCCAGTTCTTCAATTGTAAATTCATTCTAGTTCTCAATTATTTGAGCTTTGTTTCTATTTAATTCCTTTCTATATTATAAATACTGTTATCATGAGACAGGCAGCTGCTATATGTTTGATTAATCAATCAATAGAAAAGAAAAATAAGCAGAAACCTCTGTAATAAAACAATAACTCCTCAGATTTGTAGGTGTTTAACTGCCCGGTGATACTTTCTTGGCCAAATATGGTGTTTGAAGCTGAGAGGGTGACTATCCCCTTGTCTGCTGCAATGAAGGAAAGGCAGCCAAGACCTCATCCGACCCAGGGTAGCAACGTTCAGAGGCTGCACAGGGAGGCCAGGAAAGCAGAAGGGGCTGAGATTCTGGCTCCTCTGGAATAATGAGCGCACTCTTGGAAGAAGAGAACCCCCGCCCGCCCCAACGCGGCTGCCTTCCCACCTCTGGCAACGGTAACTGCAAGGCCCAACTCACGTGATGGCAGAGGCCTGGGTCTGATTCTGCGGCCAGTCGACAAAGCAAACCACTCGCTCAGGCAGCTCCTCAGTGGTGGCATAGTAACCTTGAGGGAAGGAAAGGAGCGAAGCCAAGAGCCATATAACACAGATGACAACCTTGGTGGCTCCAGCGGACAGCCTTGGTTGCAGAGGATGGATAATGGCCATGTACCTTTGAGAGAGAGAGAGACAGAGACAGAGAGAGGCTTAAAATCTAGGAAGAGAATATTACACAACCACTAGAGAGAGAAGTTGGCATCCACCGGCAGCCACGGGACTCCTCTTCAAAGGTGCAGGGGAGGCTTCTTCATTCTCCAGCCAGTTGAGACCCCTGGATGCCCAGCCCACCTCCAGTCTGCTGCTTCGTCCTTCCCACCTGCAATTGGCAGGAAGCCACGTGCCCTAAACCTCGGGGTGGGGGGGATGGAGGGCGAGCAGACGGACGGTGGGCCCTTACCTGGAGGGCGTCCGGCTGCCATGCAGCTTTGATTGTGATCGATAGTTTTCGGGGCTACAAGTCCAGTCCCACCCAACCTCATTTCCAACATGAGAAGCCTCCTACAATTATGCACAACACCACAATTGCTCTTTGTTTTGCAGTCTCCCTCCCCCCCCCCCCCCCCCCATTCTCTTATTTATTGATTTTCCCAGGTGTTGGTTCAAAGGGTTGGTTATTACCTACAAACCCCACACGGCATGGGGCCAGGTTACCTACGGAACCCTCTTTGTCCCATCAAATTAGCCCATCCCACCTGGTCATTCAGGGAGGGCACTGGGCAGAGCCATCAGTCCAAGAATTTCAACTGGGGGAGGGGGAAGAGGGCATTCTCTGCTGCTGCCCCCACATTGCCCCACGCCCACTGCCCAGAAGCGGGGAGAGCCCCCTCTTTCCTGGCCCTCCACAAAGGTCTCAAAACCTGGCTCTGCAATCTTGCTTGGGGGGCACAGAAGACCATGCAAAAGCGGGCCTGGCCGGTCCCAAGAGTACCTCCCCCCCCCGCCGTATTAACCAATGCTAAATGCCCATCTTGGATTTGGTTTTAATCCTTTTGAAATGCTATGTTTTCATAAGGCTTAACCTTAATTTTAATAAGTTAATATTCATTTTACACATTGTTTATATATTGATTACACTGTACACAAAAGATGCATGCAGAGGGATCCCATATCCTGAGGCAGGAAAGCACTGGGAATCTTAGAGAGAAATGTAATGGGCTATTTGTGACTAAATGGATTATTCATAACCCCTTGTTGACAACAATTAATTGCAAATATATTTTGCCACGAAGCCACCAAGAATATTTGTTCATGATTTATGATTCCCAGTAGACTGAGCATCATGGTATGATTTCAGTGCTTCATTTTGCATAGGAGATTTTTGCTCAAGAGGCTGTGAAGGAAGAATTAAACCTGGAGGGGTGTGTGTGTGTGTGTGCGTGTGTAGATGCCATGCTTCCCCTCCCTTCCCATGCAGGTCTACTCAGAAGGAAGCCCCCTGGGGATCAGTGGCATTCATTGGCACATAAGGATGTGCATGAAACTTGGCCTTTCTTGTATGTGTGATCTTTGATAGAAATGATTTGGCTTTTTTACTGGACTTCTATGGCCAGCTCTCTCATACAACGACTCTAGGAGGCTCCCACCTATCAAAAAGTAGGAAGGATAAAAATACAGGTAGTTCTTGACTTACAACCACCCAGCCCAGAATCTTCACCTTGCGACTGATTTTGAGCTGTAGAGGTGAGGAATGAAAGGCGTGAGCAGATCTGGCAAGTTCTTTCACTTTTTTCCCCTCCCCCGTTTTCTATAATTCCTTGCCTGATTAGTAGCTCTGGAGAATTCAAAGGAAGGTACCCCTTTTCATGCCATTTGGGGAAGAGGGAATAAAAGGGATCCCCAGCGATTAATTTCCTATTGTACAGACTGAGAAAGGGGCTGACTCCCCCCCCCCCCCCCGGCCAGTGGATGCTTTCTATCCCACTTGGTTTCTTCCTGCACGATGATATGAGTAACGTTTACTCCTTGTGTTGCTCCTGCGGCAATGACTCTCCCGCTCCACTGCAGCCCTGTCCAGCACAAGGCATCCTAACGGGTGTTAGAGAGCTGTGTCTTTCCAACTGTTATTTCAATTTACTTATTGGTTTGATTGTTATGCTTTTAACCGGGCCTCTCCCTCTCCCAGGGCTGAAGCAGCTTCTGGTGCCGTGGTTACTCCAAGGCGGTGGAGCCTCTTTCCACGCTGCTGACTGATTAATAGTTCAAAATGCTGATACTTGAACAAACGGAAGGCTGGTGTGGGTTCAAATGCGGAGGAAACACTCCGCACTTCAGTAATCTCACTTCGGCAGCAAGGAACGCCAGTCTCACGATCGGCTTCTCAATAGTCTACAGTTGCGTACAGGCATTTTGCCCGTTTATTTCACCCGTTTTGCTTTTGACTTCGTCCGCTCTGCTTTTTCTAGCTGTGGAGAGATGAGGGCCCAGCACCTGATGTGTGAACACCCCTTTGTCTGCTCTTAAATTCTCCAGACTCAAACTAACTCCTGCTGAAAATCCTAAGGACTAGGATTTTAGGTTTCAAAAGCAAATTCCGAAAGGTTTGCTTGTTTCAAAAGCAACTGGGTCTGTCCTCCAGGAGCCCCACCGGACTCCCTGGCGCTCCCTCCCTCCCTCCGTCCTCACCACAACAGCCGCTCTCGCCTGTGAGCCTAGCCGGGCTGCAGGTGCAGGGAGCGAAGTCTCTGTGGGACCTTTGGGGTCCCGAGGATTCCGGCAGCCGTCCGGCTCCCAACCAGCTTTGGGGAGGCTTGGTGGAGGCTGGGAAAGTGAGCTACCCCTCTCCTTTGCCTGGCTGCCACCCGGGAAGAAGGCTGCTTTCTTCCTGGATGGGTGGGAAAACTGTCCCTCGTCCAAAATTCGTTCAGGGGAGACAGAAGGCAGCCCTTTTGCTCCTGCCCGGATCTCCTTGTCTCAGGCAAGCTGGGGGCCCAGCACTGAGGCTTTGAAACGGCTTGGCGGCACCACGGAGGGAGGGAGAGAAGTCAAGCAGGCGCTCCTCCTCCAGGGCTGCCCCGTTGACTGTTGACTATGTCAATGCCTTGGTGCCCTCTGCTGCCCCCCCCCCCGGGGGGGGGGGGGCTTGTGAATGGGCTTCCGGGGGGTGGGGGGAGAGGTTTGCTTCCCCTAGTTTGTGAACATGGCGTCTGAATCTGAGGATGGCCTCTCTATCTGGCCAGGAGGAAAGCTCTTTGTGGGTTTCGAAGGGTTTGAACACCCCCTCCCTCCCCCCTCCCCATTTTCCCCCCCTTTCTCGGGGAAGGGTTTCCTTCGTGGAGGTTGTTTTGGGTGCTGAAACCCACGATTGATCGATCGATCATTGTATAAAATGAAAAGCATTCCCTCTTGCAGAATGGTAGCAGTACAGGAAGCGTCTGCCCTGAACTACCACAGCAGAAGTGGAAAACGTTTTACTTCCCCCTTGACTGCCTTGAAACCTTCCACCCTAAAAAGCAAGGCAGCTGCAGGGAAGGGAAGGGAAGGGAAGGGAAGGGAAGGGAGGCCACAGGGCTTTTCTCTAAACAAGAGGGATGTCTAGACGATGGTTGCTTTCCTGGGCTGTGGGCTGCTTTCACCCGCCACATGCCGGTCCCTCCCAGTTAGAAGGCCGGGGGTGGCAGGGAGCTCCCTGCGGGCTTCACCCACCACTAATGTGGATGTCAGAGCTGCAGTTCTTCCTCTGCCTGGCTGTTATTGCTCGGCTGTGATGAATGCTTTTCATTCCATGCGAGGAGGAGGAGGGAGAGCTTCTGCCTGCTGTAGGCTCCTAATGGCCACGCCGTGGAAGGCTCCCCTTCTGCCGATGATGATGCTCCAAGTCTTTAGGGGTTTGCAATAAGGCAAAGTGTGGCCTTCCTGTTATTTTTATCTGCTTTGGTTGACTCTAGGCTTTCCTTTGCTTCTGAGCCTTGGCCCCTGAGGTGAAGCCAGAGGGGCCCTCGAGGGCCTTTTGCCAATGCTGGAGACCGAGGAATTCTGTAACAGGCTTTCAGCTGGGACTTCTGAGCCAACCTGCCCAGGCCTTGGGTGCAGCTCCTCTCCTCTCTTCCCCCTTCCCTTCCCTTCCCCCTTCCCTTCCCTCCAGTTCGGGAGAAAAAGGGCCTGACTCTGACGGAAGAGGCGAAAAACAGCGCGAGGCACCGAATGTGCGCGAGTTTCTGCCCCTCAGCCAAGCCGCCTCCCGAGGGTGTCGGGAGACCCGCGTTGGTTTGGCTTCCGCAGCGCTGCTGAGGTGCAAACTCCGGCGGGCATTTGAAGGGCTCCGGGGCGGGAGCAGAGAGCGGCCCATTGGGAGCCCCGGTTGGGAGACGGAGTCCGGGGAGGGCTACCTGGGGCCAGGACAGGGGCGGGGGGGGGGGCGGCTTTCCCAAGGGGCCCAGGCCAGTTGCAGCTCCACACGCAGCGGAGGCCGCCGCCGCCGCCGCCCTCGCGGGAAGCCTTCAGCGCCTTCGGGACGGGCGGCCGCCGTGGCTCGGCAGCGGCCGTCTGAGCCCCGGGTACCAAGGAGCGGCGCCCGCTCCGCCGCCGCCGCCCTCCTCCCGCTCCAGGTTCGCCTGGGGAAAAGGCTGGACGGGCGGCGGCAATTTCCCGGGAAAGCCCGCCCGGCCCCCTGCCCGCCTCCCTCGAGCCAGCCGCGCCCGCCCCACTCCCCTCCCGGCTCACCTGTCGGCGGCGATGGCCGTCATGGAGTAGATGCTGGCCAGGACGGCGGCCACCGGGAAGAAGTTCTGGAAGCGGCAGTAGGCCGGCCCGTAGTACCAGACGTTGTGCACGGCGTAGGTGAAGTTGACCAGCGTGTTGAAGGCGGCCATGGCGGCCTCGGCGAAGGCCAGGTTGACCAGGAAATAGTTGGTGACGGTGCGCATCCGCCGGTGGGCCAGCACCACCCACATCACCACCAGGTTGCCCACCACCGACACCAGCACCACCAGCGCGTACGCGGCCGACCACAGCGCGACCTGCCAGCCCGGCTGCACGAAGGGGTTGCCCGCCGAGCCGTTGCCCGCCGCGGCGCTCGCCTCCATCCCCGCCGCCCGAGAAGAGCCGCCCCGGCCCGCCAAGCAACGGCTCCCGCGCCCGTCGGGCTTGGAGCCGCCTTCCGCCCCGGCTGCCTCGGGATCCCGCCCCCGCCGCCGCCGCCGCCGCCGCCGCCCGGAGCGCCCGCCTGGCTTGCCCCAGCCCGCCGGCTTTTTATAGCCCGGCGGCGGCGCGGCGGCGGCGGCGGCGCGTCAAGGAAGGTGGGCAGTGACGGCGGCGTGCAGGCAGCGGACCCGCTCCCCGCCGCGCCTTCCCGCCGGCCCCGCCTGCCGCCTCGCGTGGAACCGGACGGGCCGGGCCGCCCCCGCGTCCCCGGGCCGCCCTCTGCTGCGCGGCTGGGCTCCGCCGGCGAAGGCTCCGCGCTCGGAAGTTTCTTGCGACAGTCAGGCAGGAGCGGCCTTCCCGGGCTGCGAGCTGCCTCCAGCCCCGGGTGCCTCGCCTTCCCTCCCGCCGCGGCTCCTGGGTCGACTCCTCTGGGGAGCCCCGGTGAACAGGCGGCTTTGGCTGGACAGAAGTGGACGCAGCAGCGCCTGGCCAAACCGTCCCATTTTGTTCAACTTCCCCAGCCTGAAGGCTTCCAGGTGCCTCTTTCAGGATAATAAAACTAAAGCCGAGCTTTCCTTCAGGTCTGCCGTGCACCGGAGCAACGTAAAGGGGGAAGAAAGGCTAAGTCAAAACGCCTCTAGAGCCAGCAATCCTAAATGAGCTAGGAAGCCATAAAGACTATTTGAACTTGCCATTAAACGGTCCCCTATAAACCAAATCCCTCCCTTGGCATCCACTCAGGGCAACTCCAAACAAGTCTCGGGCGACCTCGAAGAAAGCGGAGTGAACAGGCATCTTCCAGAGGCGTCTCGTCTCAGGGCTAAAGGCTCCCTGGAAGAAGAAGTCGGTCCAAGCCACCAGGGAGAGAGGGTGGTTCAGATCTCCACAGGAAGCTTTAAGACCATTTTGTAATACTTGGGTAAGGCCATGTTGGACTGCAGACAATAAGACCAAGATAAGAAAGCCATCGATGGTACGTCAAGTCAGAGAACAAGCCTCCCTAGAAGGAGTGCGCCCCAAAAACTCAATAAAGCTTTCATGCAAACGTCTGCAACCTGCCCTTGAAAAGCTGGACTCCCTCCTCAGCCAACTTGTGGGGGCAGCAGTGAAAAACCTGTCCTGACATGAGCCCTCCCGCTAGTCCAAGATGGTTTTCTTTCACCTGTTTTTAGGTTGACTTCTACAGGATTCTACTTAAGGTTCCTTGGCCCTTTAAAAAAGTGAGAAACAACCCTACCCCACAGAGGGATTCATGGACATTCAAGCAGGCCCAGCAAAGATCCAGAGTCTTTGGAAGCTGCAAGTCAGGTCACCTTGTGACCAAGGATTCAGAGCAAAATATGGAATAGCAGAATTGGAGGGGACATTGGAGATCTTCTAGTCCAACCCCTTGCTCAAGCAGGACACCTTAAACCATTCCAGACAAAGGCTGTCCAACGTCTTGAAAGCCTCCAGTGACAAGAGCACCCACAACTTGTGGAGGCAAGCTGTTCCACTCATCAATGGTTTTCTCTGTCAAGGAATTCCTCCTGCACAGGTACAGAATGGGGGCTCCCTGACTCAACGGTAGTGACTGCGGGAGAGTCTAGGCGCCCAACTGGACCACCGCTTAAATCTAAGCCAGCAATGGGCTACAACTGCCCCACCAGCCAAGGCAGTCCCAGGCTGCATCAAGTGAGGAAGAGCATCAACACCACGAGAAGTGATGGGATTCCTTCACGTTCCCCTGGGGAGAGCCCCCGTGGGACTCTGTGTCCTCCAGTGCTGGCCGCCACCACCACACAAGAAGGAAGTGGAGACGCTAGAAAGAAAGTGGAGAAGAGCCACAAAGACAGGGACAGTCTGTGGGCTGCATGGTGTGATGAACGTCATGCCTAGAGGCCGTTGAAGAGGATGGGGCGGGGGGCATGACCACTCTCCTTCCAGCACTTGAGGGGCTGCCACTGAGAAGAAGGGACCGGCTTATTCTCTAAAGCACAAGAGAGCAGGAAAGAAGCAATGGGCGGACACTTGTCAAAGAGAGATGCAGCCTAGAATCAAAAAGAAACTCTCTGACAATCAGGGGAACAGCCCACCTCCCAGCGTTCTGGGTGCTGCATCCCTGAAAGTTTTTACAACTAAACTGGGCCGCTATTTGACCAGACTAGTATAATGACTTCTGCCTTGAGCAAGGGGTTGGACTAGAGGACCTCCAAGGTCCCTTCCAACCCTCTGATTCTGTGTCCTGTGAAGACAGCAGTTTGGAATCTAGAGAGGGAAGAAATCCTTTCGTGACTAACCATGCAGTAAACATATTGGATGCCTCACATTCCCCTGCCTGAAAGTCACATACGTCGGTCCGTCTTGAGAACAAAAAGGCACCACTCGCTTGTTTAAAGGCTTCCATAGGATTGGCAGATGCTTCAAAGCCTGAGGTCTACCAATGGGGAAGTAATCTTCTGGGAGAACAGAGGAAATTTCTTTGCAACTATTTTTGAAATCATCCCTGAAAATGTCATGTTTTCATCAAGCTAGTTGGCTTAAAGAAGGAAGCAAAGCCCGTGCATTTTCCATCCACATTTGACCCCAGAAGAGGACGGAAATCTAAGCTGCTTCCCTCCTCTGTGTACCCAGCGGTATCCAGGCAATATGATCTTCTTTGAATTCTGATTCCAGGTTTTATCTTATCTTCCTCCATATTTGGGGAAATATGGGGAAATTTGCTTTACTCAGCTACAAACTGTGAAGGAAAAGAGATCCTTTCATGTGCTGCTACTATTGCTTTTCATCGGCCGAACTCTTAAAATCCAGCGATGGTGGTGAGTCTTTAGCGCCCCTTGAGCTCCTGTCTTCCGGGTGGGAGCAGAGACCACCCCGAGAGATAAAGGCTGGCCCTGGCTCTCCTCTTGGTCTCCCACCTACGAGATTCCTCACCTTCTCCCTTCCTTCTTGGAGCTCTTGCTTTTAACTCCCGGGGGATCTAGCCAGGTGCTCGGCTTTGTCGGAATCTAGTTCTGTACTTTCTTGACAGGAGTGTGGAATTGGTTTCACCAGTTCTGCTCAGGTCAGATTTTCATTCCCTTGCGTGCACAGAATGCTCTACTCCCCCTGCAACTTCTCTAGTCATTCACCGGCACCACAAGTTGGGGGTGTCTGAGCACACAGAAGTTTCACTTATTTGCAAGGCTGGGTCTAAAAAATTACGCCCTGGAATTTCAAAACCATAATCCTGATTCTGAGGAGCTCAAGAACTGGACTGGGACAGCTCAGCTCAGCCAATGTGCCCCAGGACAACTCACTGCGGGACAATTCAATTTAATTCTTTTAAATCGTTAAGACATTTTGATTTTTGTCATTCACATTTTATTTTGTCCCTCCTTTGACATCTTTTCTTTAATGATTCTATTCCTCTATTTCTTCGATATTAGTGTAACTCTCGTCTAGCAGCGGGTTGTGATAGACCTCTCCAGGAGACACTGAGGCACAAAGTCTCCTTCTAGGCAATGAAGCTCAGGTGCGTAGGTTTGAGTTCTTCATTCCCCTGAAATCCTGCCTTCTTGACGCCATGGGAAGGAAAGGGTATGACGGAAGACTTGCTTTATTGCCACCACAGCCATTTGAAGGTCTTTGTCAGTGAATGTCCTGCAGAATTTCTAACCTTCACAATTCCACCTTTGCTGAAGTGAGAACCGAGGCCATCCCATCCTGACCCACTGAGTACGGTGGATGGAAATGGATTGTGTGGCCAATGAGTTTCGGTTCCACAATTAGGAAAAATGGAAAAGCCAGAGAATGCAAAAGAAGATTTGTGCTTTACGAGCTCCTCTTTTCGGGGTGGGGGAGCTAGGAACAAAACTGTTATCCTCACTATTTCCTTTAACAATTCTTATTAGATTTTGGTTCCTAACTGTAGGCCACCCAAAGTGATTTGGGAATCAGGAGGCCTATAAATTAGATAAAACAAATGTCCCACCTTTACCTATACAATTTCAAGGCAAGTAAACCCTGACGCCACCATCTTTCTTAGATCCGCTGTTCCTTCCGCTCCACCCAGTCCATCAGAGAGAAGCCATCCGATCGCAGGCTGCTTACCGGGTCCAGGCCCTCTGTGATTTGTGAGGGGCTGCCATAATGTCTTCCTTCATTCCCGTGCTCTACTGGGGGGGAGGGGGGGCTGAGGGGAGGCTCTGAAAGCTCTTGGCCAAGTCAAAGGCTTCGGGTGGCCTTATTCTGCATTGCAGCTGTTTCAACAGCTTTCCCTGCCCCTCTGGGGTCACTGAAAATGCCACTGTACAAGTTTATCAAGCTCCAACCTTTTCCTACCTTTAATTATAGACATTGCTGTTTTCCATTTATTTAATCAAAGCTGGGCACTCTGAGATGGCAGCTGATGTGGTGCTTAATACATATGCTGTTGCCATAAAATTCTGCTTGACATTTTGTCACCTCTCATTGAAGCCAGTTCAAGTGATTAACACACAGAATTCCTTAAAGCGAGTACCTCCCTTCAACGAATGATGCTCCTGAAGCATTATGTAAAGCTGAACGGAGGAGAGCCTTGCTGAGCCAGCTGGCTACCATGGACAATTGGCTTCCAGGGTGGGAGATAAAAGGGGGCGCCCTTCCTTCATCCAGGCTCGCCCGGAGAAGAGGAATTGTGGCTGGCAGAGGAGGGAAATCTGCTTGCCGGCCTTTGTTTTTTTCAAAGCTGTCTGCTCTGCAGAACCTGGTAGCATCCCTTGCCGCGGCATAGAAGTTACTCCAGAAGCCACCTGCAGCTGCAAAGAACAGGCAGCGGTCACGTAGTTCACTGATGTGAGTTGAGTGGCTTTACTGAGTGAGCAAACCCTACTAGTTGCATATAACAAAAAAAAAAGTGTTGGAAAGATGGGATGCCATCATTACAATTCTCCTCAGAGGATTGATTTCTCCTTGATCGTTTGTCTCATGTGAATCCTTGATT